TTCCAGGAACAGCAGACATGTCCCTCGTGGGCCTGACTCCCTCTGTCATCACCCACTGGGGCTGTAGTGATGGCGCTGTGGCCCTGGGCTGCTGCTGCTGGAGCGGCCCTGCCAACACTGCACTTTCTAGGCAGCAACCTCCGAAACACGGTTTCTCTGTGTAGCCCTGGCTGTCCTGGAACTTGCTCTGTAGACCAGGCTGGCCTCAAACTCACCTCGCAAAGTGCTCTGGGATATTAGTGTGCACCACCACTGTCCGCGGCAACCTGTGACTTTCTTAATACCAGAAGCCCCCTCTGATGTGTGTCTCCAGGTTGACCTGAACCATGGGTTAAGCCAATCAGAAACAGGTCATCTGATCACCTGGGTTGTCAGACCTGAGCACCCCTGAATGGCCCTCTCCCCACCTTGGAGGCTGCCACTTTGACACTCCTTTGCATGACCAACCAGTGGTGGAGTTATGGGTGAGGATGACTTGTATAACCCAGTGAGAGTGGGCCGTGCTCAGAAGAGCTCGTGAGATCCAATCTTAAATGACCAAGGGGCATGGCACCTTGGTAAAACATCCTGGTGGTATGGAACCTATAATAAGGTCTCTGCCCCACTTCCTGTCCCTCTCCTAGAGGCAGCATGCATGGCTAACGACCTTTGACTCGGATGTCTTTATCACTTCTAGCTATCTGGCATCAGTAATGGTGTGCCAGGCCCTGGGTTCTGTAACTAGCAATGCATGCACACCCATACATGCGTGGACGCGCACTCACATGGGGAGGACAGCGATGGACTGTAGCCTATGCAAGGCGCCGTCTCCCGCTTCCTATTTGTGTTAGTTTTGTTACTTACAACTTGGGCATTGCACTTTGAGCCATATGCTGCTGCTGGTCGATGATGGATACTGTAAAATAACGTAGACTTTAATGGTGCTCTGAGGCTTCTCTCAAGTCACTAACTAGACCCATGGGAAGGGAACTGGAGACAGACTGTTGCTGCCCTGAGAAGGCTTTGTGGGGATGCCGAGCCTGCCCAGGATCCATCGTCTTCTCAGCTGCCTCATCAGTGACACCAAAGGTCAATTCAGCTAGATTCCTTTGTGTGTGTTTGCATAGGTGTGAGTGGGTGTGCTTTCTGTGCATGTGTCTGCGTGAAGGGGCTGGAGGAGGATGTTGGGGGTCCTGCTCTATCACTCTCCTTGTTCACTTGAGATAGGCTTCCTCACTGAACCTGGAGCTGGGCTGGTGGACAAACAAGCTTTCCAATCCTCCCATAGCGCTGTGTGTAGGGGGCCTGGATGCACACAACCGTACCTGGGGATTTGGACTCACGCTTGCTCAACAAGCCCCTTTGCCTGATGAGCTGTTTCCCCAACCTGGACACATCCATTTCTGTTTGCAGTAGCTCAGTTCATCTAGAGGGCACGGGAAGTCACCTTTGAGTTCTCACATGTGGGAAAAAGAGTCTGGTCAGCCTAGATAGGTGTGCATTTGGCTGGGTATAGAATTCCTAGTCGGCACTTTGAAGAGGCTGCTACCCTCCCCACAACCAGTTATCACTCACTGTTGCCTGGGCCATTTCTTCGCAGATAGGAAAATTTTTTCGGGCCTCAGGATTCTGAAGTTTCACTGGGACAGAGCTGGAGGGTGGGTCAGATTTCATTTACTGACCTGACCTCAGTAGGCCTTTTCGTCCTAAGTCATCCTCCTTTTAATTCAGGGAAATGCTATTCTGCTGTGCATATTTCAGGATGGATGTCTCTCCTCAGAGCCACAGTTCCATAGTTGTCTTCCAGGTAGTTCTTTCATGTCTCTTAATATTTCTTCTTCTTTCTTTTTTTCCTTTTAAACTTACTTTCTCATTTGGTCTTTGGATAGTTTTAACTTTTTATTTATTTTTTGTTACATTTTAAGAATTGAGGTGTAATTTATAATCAGTGATATATGCATATTTAAAAAATTCAAGTTGGGGGCTGGGGGAGGTGGCTCAGTTGTTTAACCACTCGCTGTAAATGCATTAGGACAAGAGTTTACATCTGTTGTATAGCGGGTCGGTAAACTGGATGGGTGGAGCAGCCTGCTTTTAATCCCAGCTCGTGGGAGGCCGAGACAGTGAATCCCTGGAGCAAACTGCTTAGCTAGACTAGGCAAACTCATCAGTGAGCTCTGGTTTAAAAAGACCCTGTATGAGTATATAAGGTGGAGAGTGATTGAGAAAGATAGCCAAGGCCAGGTGGATGTGGTAGCTCACCTCTTCAATCCCAGTGCTCATAGAGGCAGAGGCAGGCAGATCTCTCTGAGTCTGAAGCCAGTCAGGGCTGCATAGAGAGAGACCTTGTCTCAACCCACACCACCCCCAAAAGAAAGCAACTGTCAGTCTCTGGTTTTCATGTGCATGCACACCTGAACACATGCACATACACACACGAAACAAGCATGAGTTGGGCTGTGGCTGTAGCTCAGTGGTAGGGCATTTGAGCAGCAAGCACAAGGCTTGCTGCTTGGGGATGATTCCATCCCATTGTCCCAAACTAACAAAAAGCATCTTTCATGGCCCCCCTCCCCGCCAGCCACCCACCAGGTTCTCAGTTCCAGATCCTGCCCACTCCAGAGGCAGCCGCTGTTCTGAAGGTGATCCCTTTGTTGTTAGTCTATCTGTTCCCTATCAAAATGGGTTCCCACTAGACACGTGCTTTGTCTCGCTTCTTTAGTTCAGACTGGTGCTTTTGAGATTCACACAGAATGTTTTTCAACCAAGGGGCTTCTTTCCTTCCAGTTGCTGAGGTGTACTGCTTTTGTGGGAGTGCCACCGAAGTGTGTCTATTTACCTGGTGGGATGCTTCAGCCGAGTCTAGGTGGGGCTGTGGTGGGGCTGCCCACCTGCCCATCTTTCAAGGACTTGTGTTTCCTTTCTCTCCTGTGGGTCTTCTCCAGGAGGGGAGTGATGGGACCCAGAGCTGGTAGGAAGCTGCTGAGGGAATCTTGGCCATTTTTGTAGGTTATTTGGAGAGGCATCTGTCTGTCTACATCAGTTACGGAAGCTCTTTCTCCATTCAGGATTGAGGCCTTTGTCGGATGTGTGTATTGGGAATGGTTTCTCCCCATGTGTAGCTTTTCTCTCATTATCTTAGATAAATAGTAATTTAATGAGCGGAACGTGTTACCATTTTATTGTCTAGATTAGAGATTAACTTTCTTTGTACTTACTATTTCACTGGATTATGGAATATTTTATATATTAAAAAAGGCCAGCCCAGCTTTCAAAATTTGTAAGAACTCTCTTCTGGGTGGTTCCTTTTAAAATACAAGTTTGCTCTTGTATAAGCAGGTCCAAATTCTGGGTGTTCATGAGAAGAACATTAATTAGCTGTTTTTGAAGTCTGTGAATGATTGTCTTTCTGGTGCTGGCTGCACTGATCATTTCTCTTGGCTGTTTGGCTTTGTTGATGATGACTGCTGTCTAGTCCCACTGATGAGGGTCTGTGCTATGGGGCAGTGGTCTGGCCTGATGGGTACAGCTACCATGTGGGGAATAATTTCTTAACACAGTGACCCTTGTCATGACCCTATGGGCCCACTGCTTCTATTGGACTCTGGCTTGACATTGTATGAGGCTTCCAAAAGGATCCTGGGGATCTTTGCTTATATTTCCTTTCAGCTCTGATCTTTCCCTGGTCTATCTTAAACCACCTGCTTCCTGTCTCCTGGAATTCCTCCAAGTTTCTGTGCTCTGTGTTTGGTTGTGTTAACAGTTTCCTTTGGAAATATAGACGCCTCTCTTCTCACACACTTGTGGCCCTGGGGTATGTGGCCAGGGAGACGGGACTAGAAGGTGACTTTGGGCACTACTTAGGTGGAGTTGAGAAGGTCTCACTGTGCTTATAGAGTGAGGAGAGGTCACCCTAAGGCCCATGACTGGTGGCATCTTATGAGATGAGCTTGGAAGCACAGAGCAGCACTTGGGGACATGTGAGCTCTTTGGGTTTGTTTTGAGTGCTCCAGGGTGAGAATCCATTTGGATTTGGGGAAGGGAAGGGCCAGGGTCTAGGTAGGCTACAGGGGTTAATGAGGCAGGAGCTAAGGCAGAGGGCAGAGGGTGGAGCTCACATACCTGATGAAATCCAAGATAGCAATGAAGTTTGTTTTTGGCGTTTTTTTTTTTTATTTTTATTTTTTTCCATTTGAGACAGGCTTTCATGTAGCCCAGGCTAACCTCTCATTAGATATATAGCTGAAGATAACCTTGAACTTCTGATCCTCCTGCCTCTACCTCCCAAGTACTGTGTGGGCCACCAGGCCTTGTTCATTGAGTGCTGAGGGTTGAACAACAGGGCTTTGTGCGTGGTAGGTAAGCATTGTGTGCACTGAACTGTGTGCCTAGACCTACAATGATAGGTGTTTACTGCTCTGTTGTAAACTTTGGGACAGCAGATTAGTTCTGCTGCCTTGGCCAGGCATCGTGGCACAAGGCCAGGTGAAGCATGTTTCTTCCTGCTCCAAGGGCCGGGCTGCCTGCTCTCAGGACTGGCTTTGCCAAGTCAGTCAGTCCTCCATCATCTCGGTGCTGGTCTCTGGCATGTGTCATCTCCCCTCCGCTGAGGTCTCCTGGGTCTTGAGCGCCTCCCCGCTCTGTGTATACTTAGAAGCAAACGGACATTTCATCCCTGTAACAAGTACTCTGCGAGTGAGTGATCACTGGAGAGAGCAGAGGCCTCTGAGGTGTTTGAAATGAAAAAGTGCAAAAGCTTGGCAGCATAGCTTGTGAGCTGCTTCTGGCTTCCTGGAGCAATTTCCAGCAGAGGGGCCCCAGGCAGGGCCTGTATCTGGGGCTGTGGTGTGCCACTTGTCACTGTGAAAGGGTAGATCCTGCTACATGTCACTGCTGGGGAGTGGCATGCCTCTGAGGCTTCTCCTGCCGCCCCTACACCGGCTGCACTCTCCTGGAGGAAGGGAGCGTGGCAGACAAGGCCCAGAGCACAACCCACCCAGTGCACCTGTCTTTGGCTCTAGGACCGGAAGCTCACCAAGCTTGAACGGCAGCGGTTCAAAGAGGAGGCGGAGATGCTGAAAGGCCTGCAGCACCCCAACATCGTGCGCTTCTACGACTTCTGGGAGTCCAGCGCCAAGGGCAAGCGATGTATCGTGCTGGTAACGGAGCTGATGACCTCGGGGACACTGAAGACGTAAGTGCTGCACACCAGTGGGCTGGGGTAGCCTTGGGCGCAGGGCTGTGATAGCTACCGTAACAGAGGTGTTGGAATGCTTGGGCCAATCTGACAGGTGTCTGTGATTCAGAATCTCTTTTGAGTGATATGCTTTCTCTAGGCCGTGGGAAGCCCATTCCCCGCGTGAGAAGAATCAAACCTAGTCCTGGCATTTGGCTCCCTCTGGCTTCTTGTGACAAATGAGACTGGTTCTCATGACCATATGACTGTTCCCACTCTCCCTTCCTGTGTGGGACACTGGAAGGCTGTTTTACTTCCCAGTGATATGGTTCCTTATTTCTGGCCAATGTCTGTTTGCCTAGAGGCCGGCCTGGCATGTTCTAGTGTCCTGGAGGCACAATGCAGATGTTAAGGGCCAAACATAACACAGTAAGGGGTTGAGAGCTAGGTGGACCATGGCGGTTTGTTCCTGTTCCCCGAGGTCTGTACTATGGGGGAAGGGGATGTCCCCTCTGAGTGGCCATAGCTTGGGTTCCTCTGAACCATTTTAACCCTGAGGCCCTAAGGAGGACTTTGATGTCCTCTGCCTCTGGGCAGTTTCAATCTCATGTGAAGATTTGGTGAGAAAAATCCTAATTCTCATCCTCACCTCTCACTTCCTTCTGGGTGGAGCCAGGGCTCATCACGTGGGTGGCTTGTTGCATGGAAAGCCTGGCCTTCTTGACCTTTGACTGGAGGTGTTCCTCTGTCACTCATACTGTAGTCTGGGACCCTGCCCCATTTGGTGCCTCCTATTACATCCAGGAGATTAAGGCTGTGCTTGCCATGGTTTGTTAGTAAGGTCTCCAGGGCAAAGAGCCGTGAAGGCTGTGGTCCTGGGTCAACGTCTGCTCCAGGCCTGGATCCAGCTGAGCCGCCCTGGGTAGGGGAAGAGCTGTTGGCATTTCCCCTTCCCTTCACTGCCTGCCACGTAGCTGCCAAATGCATGTGGCTAGGCTTTGCCAGATGGGGGCTTCCCAGGGACAGCAGCAGGTGAGCTGCTTGGTGAGCTCTGCCCTTCCTCCAGGTACTTGAAGCGGTTCAAGGTGATGAAGCCCAAGGTACTGAGAAGCTGGTGCCGGCAGATCCTGAAAGGCCTGCTGTTCCTGCATACAAGGACACCCCCCATCATTCACCGAGACCTCAAGTGCGACAACATCTTCATCACGGGACCCACTGGCTCTGTGAAGATTGGTGACTTGGGCCTGGCCACCCTTAAAAGAGCATCATTTGCCAAAAGTGTGATAGGTGAGCCTGTTTCTTCCTCCTAAGCCCATCGGGGAACCACATGGCATTCAAGGAGCCACCGTCACCTGGTTTTGCTCAGACCTGGTACAGAGCATCCAAGCAGTCCCAGGATTCTGGTGACTCGGCCAGAGGACCTGCCTAGTAGGGAACACACTTGTAGCTTGCCTGGAGATACTGGCTTTGTTTCTCACTGAGACCCCTTCTGTCAGACTCAGGGATGTGGTGGTCTCTGCATCAGATCCCTAGCTGTGTTAGGTACCACCTGTGATTGTCTGCCGAGGGTGGTGGGCTAGATGCCAGCTTCAGAGCCTTGGTGGACACTGCGGCTGCTCAGGAGGAGGAAGTAGTATTGCCAGAGAGGAATTACGCTGCTTGTAGTAGGTGGCATTGGAGCTGTTCCAGCAGTCAGGGACACAAAGAAATGACAACTGGGAGTGTCTGAGCAGGAAGATGGATCAGAGGTCCAGCATGGTATTTACATGGTATTGGGAGGTGGTGCTGGGGGGTTGGGTCCTTTCTTGTCCTCAGGCCTTGGCTCCAGGCCTCTCCTCCTCTGAGATAGGTCCATGGCCAACTTTTGGGGAGATGATGCTCTGGGTCCTGAGGACAATAGCCTGCAGCTGTGTGTAAGGATAAGGGGGGTCTGGATCATGTGTGCCCAACCTCGAAGGGACTAGCCTGTCTCTAAGTGTCCACCAGATACTGGGAAGGATTTTTGTGGGCTTTGGAAAAAACCTATAGAGGGCTGCAGTGGCAATTGCTTTGGGGCTCATAGCTTGAAGTCAGGTGTGCCCCTCCATCAAGGCTGATTACCCCCATGAACAGGACAAGGGGTGGTTGGCCTCAGGTCCCCATGAATTGCTTGGGGAACGAAGATGGCCTGTTGGGTAATCTTGGGGACTGCTTTCTTTGCAATAGTACTAAGGATAGCTGTCTGGCCTTTTTGAGTCTAGATCCCTGGTCTCCTTATCCTGGTAGAATAGGGTGGTGGGGAGCTGGGACCAACCTAAGTCTCGGTTTCCTGTCTGTGAAAGTAGGTGGGACTAGGCTGGGAAGATAGCTAGTAAGAGCACTTGCAGGATAACCACAGGGGCCCGAGTTCAAATCCACAGAACCTAGATTTAAAAAGCGAGGCACTGGGGCTGGAGAGATGGCTCAGCAGTTTAACAGTGTGTATTGCTCTTTTAGAGGACCCAAGTTTAATTTCCAGCACCCATGTCAGGTGGCTCCAGAGGATTTGGCTTCTGTTAGCACCCCAACATACGTGGTGCATGTATGCATGTGTGTGCACAGAGAGACACAGACACAGGCACACATACCATTTAAAAATAATAATATATATTTTAAACAAGACATGGTTACATGTACATTTATAACTCCAGCACTGCAGGGATGTGAGAGGATTGCTGGGACTTTCTGGCCACCAGCCTAGTTCCAGGTTCAGAGAGAGATCCTGTCTTAAGGGAGTAGGTGGAGACGGATAGGGCAGGACACCAGACATCATCTGACTTTTGTGTGTGTACATGTATGCATACACCACACACACACACACAGATACCTCTTTACATAAAATGAAGAGAAATGGGTGGGGTTCAGGGCTGTGGAGGTGTTGTACCCTGGCTCTGAGCTCTGGGAAGTTTCTAGTCAGGTTTTGTTTTTCAGACCTTGGACTCCGACAGGTGACAGGAAGGCCCCTCAGGGTCACACACCTCAGAAATAAGTGTTCAGAGCAAGGTTCCTTCCACTTAAGGAACCCGTGTTCCACAGCTGTGAGCTCTCTGCGTTTTTGGAAATAAGGCTTCACGTTTCTGGCTTGGGGGATAAGAGTGAGTGGAGATGAAGGCTGGGTGTTTCCGGCAGTCCCAGGAAGGCGCTGTAAACCCAACACTGCAGGCTACACGGCCTCGCATCCTCCTAGTGCGTTTCTTGCTGCTTTGGTGGGGCTGGAGATCCCTGTGGCCCCTTCGCATGAAGCAGATACAGTAGTGCCTGTTGTGGCCAAGGCAGAGCCCTGGGGCTGTGGACGGGCCTGACCCACGGGGGCCTCCTTGGAGGCATAGGGAGCAGGCACTAACCGAGACCTTGCTTTACTGATCTCTGAAGCCAGGTGAAGGCCTGTGTGTTCCATCCTGGCGACCAAGGCTCTGGCCTCTGTGGGGAGCACACCCTGGTCCTGAGCTCTGGGCAGTTTCCAAGCAAGTTTTATAAATTTGCCCTTGAAGAGCGAAATGGGAAAAAGGCCAAGGTGAACTGAGGATAGCTATTCTAGCAAGAGCTATAGGTCAGCCCTGGATGGGCTTGGCATGCCAGGTAGAGTAGGAGGAGGCCTGGGCTGTTGGGTCTCATGTGGATGTAACAGGTGAGTACTTAGCAGTTCTAGGCAGGAGATGAGAGATGGATTCTGCCTCCCCAGTGAGGAAATGAGCAAGGGCCAATTGTTAATTTGTTCTTGTTTTAACAAAAGTCAGGGAGATCAGGGAAATCTAGGAAATAGAGCTTTCAAATCCCATGAAGTAAATAATTTGTCTTTCATTACAGACTCGGTGCAATTCTCATGGGCTGTAGGGTTGTTATAGTGTTAGCCTCCTCCACTCCTGCCAGGCTTCAGCACACGTTCTCCTGTTCATCAGGGGGCGGAGATGCCTTGTGGCCACAGCTGAAGTGACTTCTCCATTAGAAAGCCAAAGGTGGCCAGGGCTGTACCCACAGAGGTCTGCCTGACTCTGGCACGAGGAGCTTGGAGAGCAGCGGTGTGAGGACCGTTCCCTAGCACCCGGCAAAACAGCTGGGCCTAGGGTGGGGGTGGGCCACTGCCACTTCTACTGTCATGCAGACTCATGTGCAGGGACCTGGGGATGCCTGGCAGATGTGCAAGGCAGCCTTGGGCTCAGGGACCCTGTGGCTGATGGCAGAACATGAAATGGGTCAATGGGTGGACAGACACCTAGACAGTTATGTGTGTGTGTGCGCGCGAGCGAGCACATGTACGTGTTATTTCTAAAATTCAGATTTAATTAGTAAGATGAAAAGGAAAAATGAGTCAAGTGCATCCATGCTCAGGAATTATTAGGGCCTCCTTTCCTGGACCAAAGCTAGTTCCAGCTCAGCCCGTTTCCCAGAGCTGGGCTGTCTGGGATACTTTTTGCAGAGCAGCGTCCTTTCTTCTTGCTGATGCCAACAGAGTCCAAACCCAGGGATAATGCTGTCTGTTCACTCTAATGCCATGTGGCCAGCTAGTGAGTAGAGTTTCTGCCAGAAGAGTTGGGGTCCCTCTATGTGCTAAGGAGTGACTGGCCCAGCTCCAAGTCCTGGGAGTCCTCTTTTGTCACAGTCCTCTCTAGGGCCCAGGACTCACCCCTGGAGTCTCTTTGTTGGCTCCTCTAGCAGGAAAGGGCTTTGTGGTTTCTCCTTGTTATCACAGGACAACTTGTCCCACACAGTCCCTGGCAGAGGCATCATGGGATGGCATTATGGGCAATAGAGGTGGCCCTGGGGAGGGAGCCCTTCCATCCTGCAACTTGGGGTTTCCGGCCAAGTCAGCTGCCCTGTTCACTGTGTTCCAATTGCCACGGTGGTGGGCCCTCCTGAGTGGCCACTGTGCTCTAGGCCCGTGTAACCCCTCCACATATGCTGGGGTCCCTAGGATATATGACGGGGTGGGAAGGGCCTGGGCTCTGATCCACTTGTAGGCTACCCCTGCCTGGGACCTCTCTCTCATGCATTCTGTGGCCTAAGAAGTATATTCATACTCTCTGACAGGGGATGGGATGGCACTTAAAAATATTAAAAATCAGCAGTGCCAAAGAATTTCAAGAGCACAAAAGGATGAAAGTTCTCAGAATGAGCACTCTTCTTGGTCTCTGTCCTTTCTGATAGACTTTTTCTACAGTTCTGTGTTCTTTATATTACATAAACCCAAACGTGCATTTTTATATTTCTTCAGTTTTTGGTCAGACTCACAATGCATATTAAAATGAATAATGGGCAAGAGACCCCAACACAGGGGCAAGAGACCCTAACACGGGGCTGCTTAGAGGTTAAAGCATTTGCTACCTAAGCCTGAGGACTGGAATTTAGGTCCCCAGCACTTACCTGAAAGTGACAGCCAGCCTACAATCCCGTTAGTTATCGGGCAGAGACTGGGTCCTCAGAGCAAGCAGGGTAGACAGACTAGCTAAATTTTAATACAAAGATGGTTTTTCTTGTTGTTGTTTTTGTTTTTCTTGGTTTTTTTTTTTTTTTGTTGTTGTTGTTTGGTTTTTTGGCTTTTGAAGCCGAAGCTTGGTTACTACCCATCCCTGGGTCCACTGGCTAGCTAGCCTAGCGTACTCAGCTCCAGGGGAGGGACAGACCCTGACTCAGAGGAAAAGGAGAAAAACAGATGCAGGGACAGCACCTGAAGAACGATGCCTTGAGATTATCCTCTGGGCTCCACACGCAAGAGGGAGCATACATGTTCATGCACATAGTGGCCACGTGGAGCAAGCATCATTTCACCTTTTTTTTTTTATATTTGATGTGTTAC